TGTCTGTCAATCGGTTGCCGCAGCGTGATGTCATAGCAGCATGAGCTCGTTGCCCGTCGTTGTAGACCTTGGTGTCTGTTTGACGTTCCTTCTTGTTGCATGAACATGTGGTTGCCTTGTTGTTTGCATGCAACTTTGTTCCGCTGTGCCGTGATGCGTTGAACTAATGTTAATGTCGACATGCGGCGTTTCGGCGCCGTCTGCTGTAGATGGCATGTCGCTGTCCTTGCCGTGTTGTTTGCGTGCAGCTTAATGTCGTTGTTTTGCCTTGATCTTAAGTTAATTTCCACATGCGTCGCTTCGGCTCCGTCTACCGTAGATTCCTCGTCTCCCTTTCTACTTATCGTTTTATCCTTTTGCCTATGTATCTATATGTCTGCGTGTCTGTCTTTCTATCTAACTATCTAACTATCTATCTATCTATCTATCTAAATATCTATCTGTTTGTTTGTTTGTTTGTGTGTTTGTTTGTTTGTTTGTTTGTTTGGTTTGTTTGTTTGGTTTGGTTTGTTTGGTTTGTTTGTTTGTTTGTTTGTTTGTTTGTTTGTCTGTCTGTGTGTCAACCGGTTGCCGCAGCATGACGTCATAGCAGCATGATGAGCGCGGTGCCCGTCGTTGTAGACCTTGGTGTTTGTTTGACGTTCCTACCTGTTGCATGACCATGTGGTTGCCTTGTTGTTTGCATGCAACCTTGTTCCGCTGTGCTGTGATGCGTTGATCTTATGTTAATTTCGACATGCGGCGTTTCGGCGCCGTCTGCTGTAGATGGCATGTCGCGCTGTCCTTGCCGTGCTGTTTGCGTGCAGCTTAACGTTGTTGTTTTGCCTTGATCTCAAGTTAATTTCCACATGCGTCGTTTTGGCTCCGTCTACCGTAGATTCCTTGTCTCCCTTTCTACTTATCGCTTTATCCTTTTGCCTACGTATCTATATGTCTGTCTATCTATCTATCTATCTGTCTATCTATCTGTCTATCTGTTTGTCTATTTGTTTGCCTGCCTGCCTGCCTGCCTGCCTGCCGGCCTGCCTGCCTGCCTGTCTGCCTGCCTGCCTGCCTGCCTGTCTGTCTGTCTGTCTGTCTGAGTGTCAATCGGTTGCCGCAGCGTGATGTCATAGCAGCATGAGCTCGTTGCCCGTCGTTGTATACCTTGGTGTTTATTTGACGTTCCTTCTTGTTGCATGAACATGTGGTTGCCTTTTTGTTTGCATGCAACTTTGTTCCGCTGTGCCGTGATGCGTTGAACTAATGTTAATGTCGACATGCGGCGTTTCAGCGCCGTCTGCTGGAGATGGCATGTCGCTGTCCTTGCCGTGTTGTTTGCGTGCAGCTTAATGTCGTTGTTTTGCCTTGATCTTAATAGTTAATTTCCACATGCGTCGCTTTGGCTCCGTCTACCGTAGATTCCTCGTCTCCCTTTCTACTTATCGATTTATCCTTTTGCCTATGTATCTATATGTCTGTGCGTCGGTCTTTCTATCTATCTATCTATCTGTTTGTCTATCTGTCTATCTATCTGTCTGTCTGTCTTTCTATCTACGTACCTATCTATCTATCTGTTTGTCTGTCTGTCTGTCTGTCAATCGGTTGCCGCAGCGTGATGTCATAGCAGCATGAGCTCGTTGCCCGTCGTTGTATACCTTGGTGTTTATTTGACGTTCCTTCTTGTTGCATGATTATGTGGTTGCCTTGTTGTTTGCATGCAACCTTGCTCCGCTGTGCTGTGATGCGTTGATCTTATGTTAATTTCGACATGCGGCGTTTCGGCGCCGTCTGCTGTAGATGGCATGTCGCTGTCCTTGCCGTGTTGTTTGCGTGCAGCTTAATGTCGTTGTTTTGCCTTGATCTTAATAGTTGATTTCCACATGTGTCGTTTTGGCTCCGTCTACCGTAGATTCCTCGTCTCCCTTTCTACTTATCGATTTATCCTTTTGCCTATGTATCTATATGTCTGTGCGTCTGTCTTTCTATCTATCTATCTACCTATCTATCTATCTATCTATCTGTTTGTCTATTTGTCTATTTGTCTGCCTGCCTGCCTGCCTGCCTGCCTGCCTGCCTGCCTGCCTGCCTGCCTGCCTGCCTGCCTGCCTGCCTGTCTGTCTGTCTGTCTGTCTGTCTGTCTGTCTGTCTGTCAATCGGTTGCCGCAGCGTGATGTCATAGCAGCATGAGCTCGTTGCCCGTCGTTGTATACCTTGGTGTTTATTTGACGTTCCTTCTTGTTGCATGATTATGTGGTTGCCTTGTTGTTTGCATGCAACTTTGTTCCGCTGTGCCGTGATGCGTTGAACTAATGTTAATGTCGACATGCGGCGTTTCGGCGCCGTCTGCTGTAGATGGCATGTCGCTGTCCTTGCCGTGTTGTTTGCGTGCAGCTTAATGTCGTTGTTTTGCCTTGATCTTAAGTTAATTTCCACATGCGTCGCTTCGGCTCCGTCTACCGTAGATTCCTCGTCTCCCTTTCTACTTATCGTTTTATCCTTTTGCCTATGTATCTATATGTCTGTGCGTCTGTCTTTCTATCTAGCTATCTATCTATCTATCTATTTATCTAATCTAATCTTATCTAATCTATAATCTAATCTAATCTAATCTAATATAATCTAGTCTAATCTATCTGTTTGTCTGTCTGTCTGTCTGTCTGTCTGTCTGTCTGCCTTTCTATCTACGTACCTATCTGTCTATCTGTTTGTCTTTCTGTCTGTCTGTCAATCGGTTGCCGCAGCGTGATGTCATAGCAGCATGAGCTCGTTGCTCGTCGTTGTATACCTTGGTGTTTATTTGACGTTCCTTCCGGATTCCTTCCTGTTGCTTGACCATGTGGTTGCCTTGTTGTTTGCATGCAACCTTGCTCCGCTGTGCTGTGATGCGTTGATCTTATGTTAATTTCGACATGCGGCGTTTCAGCGCCGTCTGCTGTAGATGGCATGTCGCTGTCCTTGCCGTGTTGTTTGCGTGCAGCTTAATGTCGTTGTTTTGCCTTGATCTTAATAGTTGATTTCCACATGTGTCGTTTTGGCTCCGTCTACCGTAGATTCCTCGTCTCCCTTTCTACTTATCGATTTATCCTTTTGCCTATGTATCTATATGTCTGTGCGTCTGTCTTTCTATCTATCTATCTACCTACCTATCTATCTAGCTATCTAGCTATCTAGCTATCTAGCTAGCTATCTATCTATCTAATCTATCTATCTATCTATCTATCTGTCTATCTATCTATCTATCTATCTATCTTATCTATATTATCTATATTATCTATTTATCGATCTATCGATCTATCTATCTATCCATCTATCTATCTGTCTCATCTATCTTACCTATCTTATCTATCTTATCTATCTAATCTATCTAATCTATCTAATCTATCTAATTTATCTAATCTATCTAATCTATCTAATCTATCTAATCTGTCTAATCTATCTAATCTGTCTAATCTATCTAATCTATCTAATCTATCTAACCTATCTAATCTATCTAATCCATCTATCTATCTATCTATCTATCTACCCATCTATCCATCCATCCATCCATCCATCCATCTATCTATCTATCTATCTAATCTATCTAATCTATCTAATCTAATCTATCTAATCTATCTAATCTATCTAATCTATCTAGGAACTCAAGTGCTCTTTTCACATCCCAAGTTGATGCTTCTCTGGCTGACATGTTGTCAGCTGGGCGTCAAGCCCACAAAAGTTGGTGCCCAAGCAAGGTGACAAAGGGCAGGGCGGAAGTGGGAGAAGCTTGAGAGGGATTCGAAGACACCATCATTCCTGGATTTGCAGGAACTCAAGTGCTCATGTTGTCAGCTGGGCGTCAAGCCCACAAAAGTTGGTGCCATCTCTCCCAAAACGTCTTCACCCACAATCTCCTCTCAAGCCAGTCTACCAAAGCTTGGGCCATGCAGAAAATGGGATGAAGCTTCTGATGAAATACGCATCAGCAAGCTTCTGGATGTTCTGTTGAACCTTTGGCGAAAGTCTGTTTGTGTAGGTTGATACCGCTATTTCTTGCAGGTAAACTTCGCAAACTCGTGAGGACAACCATCTGCCCCGTCGTCTCACGAATTCAGCGTCTTCAAACCGATGCAAGAGATGTGTGGCTCCACCAGGCCGTAAACTCGACAGATCATATGGCACTTCTGTTGCAGTCCTCCTTACCGGCAAGCCAAGCGACGCTTGCAGAGTTGCAAACCTCTTTCTCAGGGTTGCTGTGGATAAGTCCCACAAGCGCTGATCTTGAGCAAAGTTCCCAAAAACCGCAGTGACTAGTCTTACCACATCTTCGGGATCAATCCTGGCAGCCTGATGCTTTGCCGCAACTCCTCTGGTCTTTGGTTGTTGTATTTGCAACAAAGCAAAAGCTCTGCCAGGAACCCCATCTGATGGTAAGACTAGATCACCGCGCCTTGCAGCTGTGACTTCACCGATCCTCAGAACTCCACACCAGGCAATGAGGAAAATTGATGCCTCTCGAGCCCATCCCCATAGCAGTGACAATGTAGATATCGCCAGGAGCAAGGTCAAAGGCAATGCAGGGTGATGTGAAGATGGTTCGTCAGATACCCAAGAGAAAGCAAGATCCCACGCCGCGACCAGTTGACGCCTAAAGGCAGGTCGTCTCGACGCAACCGCATTTATTGTTTCAGAATACCTCCCGTAAGCACGACCTGCATAGAACAGTTCGCGCCCATACAGCACAAGATACTCTGCAACAGTCTCAGGGTCTGCATCCTTGCTGTCAACAAGCTCTGCAACTGATATCTCCGCCTTTTGAAGTAACCAGCTGTTGAACTGGTCTAACAGTTGGTCTCGGCGAGATCGTGTCTGAGGGCGCACAACTCGGTCTGCTATCAACTGCACATTGGACCTCCGATCAGCTCGTCTGACCTCTTCTGCGTTCCTTGGTCCAAGAGGCATTCCATGGCTGAAAGAGACAAGGACAGCGAGGGGCAATGGCTTCGGTCTATGGAATGTGGCTCTACTACTGATACATACACCTAAGACAGCAAGACCACAGGACAGACCACAGCCACAAAGACGCAGGTAGGTAGGAAGTCCAGCAAGTCCAATGCGCCACAGGAAGTGCTTAGGCCAGGCCCTACAAACTTCCTTACGCTTACACCTGACATGACCTTCATGAGAGTCAAGGTGCGCCCACGAACCAGCCGCACAAAACAGAACACAGACGGTCAGCAAAGCAAGTAATCCAACGGGGCATAGGAGAAATCCAAGTTGCGGGCACAAGTCCAAAGCTCTGATGCAAGGCAAAGTCCATAGATTCACAAAGGTCCTCAAGTAGATTTTGCAAGTCCATTCAGAGTGAGAAAGATGATCTACCACATTTTCAAATCCATCAGCGGACACAACTGAGCCAACAAGGACTACGAACCCTAAGCCAGGCAGCGGCGATCCGGGAGAGTGGCAAAGCATGGAGAAGCTGAGCTTTCCTGAAATCAACCTTGTCTGCAATGGAGAACCTTGCAAGCTTCTGGATCTCACGGGATCTTGTTGGTGCATCTGCAGTGTTCAAACGAGTTGGGGCAAATCCAAGTGACGGATAGAGACCCCCCGCGATTTGATATGCAGCTCCACGTCGCAGTGATGGGCCAAGGGCTTTTGCTGATGAGCGCCCTTTCGCATGGGAGCCTTTTGCAACTCTGGAGTCGAGTAGAGATGTGAATCTGCAGTCTCCTCCAGCAAGCAGACGGTCTCGGAGGATTGCAAGATAAGCATGGGACTCAAGCAGATTTATGTGAGACGGTCTGTCCCAGTCCCACACCTTCTCGACCTTCCACTCTCCAGTCATGAGTAGGTCATTGGCAATGACAGACTCAAGGCCCTTCACTTGACAGCAATCAGCTTCTCGTGAAGCCTTCTGCCTCAAGGCGACCGCAAAAGCTCGAGCTATGTGTTTTGCTAAGGCAGGGGTATAGACTGCTGAGTCTTTGGTGAACTTCCCTTGGATGCGAACGTGCGAGTGTCCACCGGGGCAGCGGGTTTCAAGGGCACTGGCATCAAGGTACTTGGAGAGGAGCCGAAACTCTTTCCTGTGGCAAGATCCAAACTGACATGGCGCAACGACAGATTCCGAAAATCCAAAGCTTTCACGCAGGAAAATCCAAATGCTCAGCCAGCACATTTTTGAGAGTCTAGGCTGTTCACATACGCTGGGACATTCACACAGAGCAGCATACCAACACAGGAACAGGCAGTGAAATGCTATCCTATTTCCAAGGTAAGTCTTTGGCGACGATGGGTCAAATCCACGAGGTACCTTGTAAGACCTTACACTTGGGTGTGCAGCAGCAGAAAAGGTGGTGCAGACAGGCTCTACCATTATGGACTTTAACCTACCGCTGCGACGCATGTTGCAAATCCAGATCACAAGGTCGAGGCAAGTGACATCAAAAGCAGGGGAATCAGAGAGCTCAATCGGCGTGCAAACTCTCAGCCCAAGATCTGCTACAGCTTTTGATACCGATCCTACACCAGCACATACTTCGAGAAAAACAAAGACAAAATCCAAGTGATGTGGTACGGACTCAAGGCTATCGTTCCCTACCTCTGCAAGCTCGGCATCATCAAAATCCAAGCCGGCAGCCTTCCCAAGTTCTCGGAAAGGTGGGTCAAGACGAGTGTAAGTGCCTTTCTTGTCTCCACCAAGCCACATTACCTGAGCAGTCTGCAATGCGGCTGGCAAGAGTCGGTGTGATCACATTCAGCTGGGCCGCCCTAAGTGCTAAAACTACAAGAGCAATCCTCTTCTGCATGGGTGCAGCTACGGCTGTCAGTCCTGCAGATTGAAGTTTCCTCGAGGCATTGACCTCAGCTCCAATTGCTTTGAAGTGCCTGCTACCAAGAATGTCCTTTTCAGTTGATCCAAGAACTTCCTCCTGAGCATATGCTTTGGCAGCCTTTTCAAGATCCTTACATGAACCAGAATCACAAGGCTGGGCGCCTTCAGCACAGACCGAAATGCTGACGAAATCATCTATCACCAGAACTTGATAGTCAGGCCCCCTAGGAAAAGGTGTATATCCCTGGACCCGCTTGGATTCACAAAGATCACCTGATGTCTCAAGCAAATGAGCATGTGCAGACAACGCAAATTCAACTCCAAGGTGATCGCCCTGCAGTAGGCTCCTGAAACACGGGAACACAGGTGAATTCTCATCAAAGGTGGATGAGACACGTCCTCCAAAGAAATCACCTACCTGAGCGCGATCTTTTCTCTTTGCTGTCTTCAAGGCCCACAAGTGCTTCAAGGCAGGATCATCTGCAAACTCGGATTGCTTGAAACTGAACGGCATGACATTTGAAAATGCCCTGGCATCAGTTGCAGAGCACTGGTGATAAAAATCCTTCCTATCAGTGATTGAACCGAACACGCAATGGCCTTTTGGCACTGTGATATTCACGAGATGATATCCTGCAGGCAAGTACCGGCTTGGTCCTGAAATCGAATACTCTGCAGCATTACCAAGCCTTCTGTCTCCT